ATTTTTTGTAACATAATAAAGGTGTCGGTTACAAATTTCGAAGGTGTGTCGAAAGTCCCGTGTTTGAATTTTTTAAACCGTCAAAATCTGGATCTCTCAAACAAATTTCGGATGGAGGTGTCTCGCTTGACACACCTACCCATAAGGAGGGTCCGCCCTTGGGTTTATCCATTAGAGATAATTAGAGTATAGTATCATACCACAAAATTGATTTAATTTATGGTATGGTTAGAGATATATACACTATCTTTCTCTCTCTGTCTCGTATTTTATTCCATCACATTCACATCCCTTCCTATTGTTGTTGTTGTTGTTGGTCGTGGCAAAATTGAAGGTTGTTATTCTCACAGAGAAAGAATACGACAGGATGCGACAGTCTTTCGACGCCGTTTCCCACACTAATCTGCTGCTCTCCAAAGTTCATTCTATCAAGGTAAGGAGTAGCGAGATTCATTTGTTTGAAAATTTTCCAACGACTCGAGTTACTAGTATAGAAAATTAAAGAAAGTGTCAGAATGGGTGGACGGTCGAAATGGGACCGGTTACTATAACAACACTCATTGTGTTGTTATTGTAACAACACTAGTCCCCAACCAATAGGAAGCTATGATTGTGATGACTTTGTATTAAATGAGTTGACCTAGTGTAAAATCAAAGCAGGGGTATAATTGTCATTATGAAAAGACGATTTAAATAAAAAAATATATATTTTTAATTTCTGCCCAAAAAGTTGGTCGCCGGAATTCTGCCACCGGTCGCCGGAACATGGTCGCCGGTCACCGGAATATGCCTTTTGTCACCGGAATATGCTATTTGTGGCCGGAATATGCTTACCGGCGTCGGAATCTAGTCATCGGGGCCGGAATATGCCAATCGGCGTCGGAATCTGCTCACTGACGGTCACCAGAGTTCGGTCAACGAACTTCGTTGACCGGTCAACGGTCAACGATCACCGGAAGTTATGGTTAGCATTGTGAGATTTATGGTTTGGTTTCTCATATTTTTTTATGCCTTTTATGGTTTGCTTTATCGTGTTTGTGGTTTGCATTGAGAAGTTTCTGGTTTGCTTTCAAAAATTTTGTGGTTTGCATTGAGGGGTTTGTGGTTTGTTTTAATATATTTGTGGTTTGCATTAGGAGGTTTCTGGTGTGCTTTCGCAAATGTTGTGGTTTGCTTTGTGATGTTTGTGGTTTGTTTTAGGAGATCTGTGGTATGCATTATGAGGTTTCTGGTTTGCACTAAGAAGTTTCTGGTGTGCTTTCGAAACTTTTGTGGTTTGCTTTTCGAGGTTTCTGGTTTGTTTTATTATATTTGTGGTCTGCATTAGGACGTTTCTGGTTTGCTTTGTGTGGTTTGCTTTACCGTGTTTGTGGTTTGCATTAAGGGGTTTCTGGTGTGCTTTTCAAAATATTTATGGTTTGCTTTGTGAGATTTCTGGTTTGTTTTAGGGAATTTGTGGTATGCGTTGGTAGGTTTTTGGTACGCTTTTTGTGGGTTGCTTTACCGCGTTTTTTGTTTGCATTAAGAGATTTATGGTGTACTTGTAAAATATTCGTGATTTGCTCTGTGAAGTTTCTAATATGGTTTAAGATATTTGTGGTCTGCATTAGGAGGTTTCTATTATGTTTTTTTAAGTTTGTTTTACCGTATTCATGATTTGTATTAACAAGTTTCTGATTTGCTTAAAACATCAAAATTGCAATAATATTCCCATTTTGTTTTCTGTTTTTTGTTGTGTCAATGAAAATCTGAAATCAAATTGTAAAAAAATGTGTTCACTTGTAATTTCGTTTTCGTTGGAAGAATCATTTTATACAAATGAGCTAGCTGGGAGAAAACTATAATATCTAGTTTCCTGAATTATGTGGGACAGGTTTGTGCCCGTTTCCTAGCGGAAAAACGACACTATGCTTAAATGAACACCCACGTTCGAATCCCACCAGTTGCAATTCTTTTTCTCTTTTGTTCCACACTTCCGCTAGCGGAATCCGACGTCGTTTCGCCTTCTCGCCTCCCTCCACTTTCCACTCCCTTCAATCTTTCTCCGTGCAAATCTCCAGTCGTCGACCAAGCTTTCATCCGCCGCTGAGCCTCTTCCCTCTTCCAGCCGACGCCAAGCTTCTTCCCTCTTCTTGGAAACTCGAACGACGTCGATTTCCATCCCTTCTATGCGTAGTTTCATGAGGCGAAGAGACGATCAAGACCACCACCCCTCTCGCGCCGCCGTCATCTGCCCAGACCACCACCCCTCATCTTCCTCTCATTCTCGCGACGCCATCATCTTTCTTCCTCGCCAGCCCCGCGCTGCCATCATCAACCGATTTGTTTATGGGGATGGAAGATTCTTGTTTACCTGGAACCAAAAGCCAAAAGGTCAAGGGTTTTTTAATTGTTTTTTTTTTGTTTGGCTAAATTATGGATTAATGATGTCTGTGGAACTCAACAATGGTGACAGGTATGGATTGTGGTGATATAGGGGGATGAACATGGACGGATTGAAGCACAAGCAATTGCGAATTGTTGTGATGCTTTGTATTTTGTTTATTTTTAATTTGAAAACTATATAATTCGAATTAAAATTTTTGATCATAATTAGGGTTGTATGATACTCAATGAACAAAATTATGATAATCAATATTCAGAAAACAGTAATGAAGTAACTAAACAGGTTTTTGTTTTTAAAATTCAGTTTCTGAACTTATAAAAAGTCTCAGCTAAACAAGGTTTCTTCAGGTTTTGTTTCTCAGAAAACGACAACTTCGTTTTCATTTTAGTTTTGTTTTCTGTTTTGGCAGCTAACAGAAATGGAATGGCAAGTAAACGGCCCATTAGTATCTTCCCAAAAGTCCAATTTTAATAATAACCTCATTTCTTCTCTCCCTATTCTGTTACGGTGTCCTATTCGTATTACCAAAAAGAAAAAGAAAAAAGGTAACTGTAACTCAATTTCTTCCTTCCTTCTCTTTCTCACCACTTTCTGGAGAAAGAAACGAATCACAAATGAAGAGAGGGGACGCACGTCGTCGGGGATTCAGAGCCGTCCCACCAGCCTGCAAACGTTGAAGAAGAGTGATGACGATCCGAGCAACGCCAGAGATTTGTCGTCGAAAGGGGCAATTGGGTTTCTGCAGCTGCTAGATTCGGTGGATTGACGAAGCGGACAGAACGGCGGCGGCCGCGCAAGGAACATGCAAGGCAAATCGGAGCGAAGGAAATCTCCTCCGGCTGTCTCCGGCGACAATGAAGCCTATGCCGCTTCCCACTCTCCCCGCCTTCTCCGTTCTCCCGCCACCATAACTTCTTTCTATCGCTACCGTCGCGAACTCCATCTATCTCCTATCTTTGGCCGCTGCTGCTGTCGCCGGTTGTCGGGAAGCTCTGGACGGAAAAAGAATGGTGGAATCATTCCGGTCGCTGCAAGGAGATCCAGCCCAGATCGAAGTCGTTGGAGAAGAATCGGCCCTGTAAGTGATGGAGGTCCAGTCCAGATCAAAGCCGTTGGAGAAGAATCGTCCTCTGTGTACTGACCTTCATCGGCGCCGGAGTAGGGTTTCTTCGCCGGAGGAGAGTTGGAATTTTGGGGATCTCATAGATTGCAGTCGAAGGAGAACGATTGCGATGGAGAACAGAGCAGAGGGGAATTGAAATTTTGGGGATCTCATTAATTTTTATTTTTATTACTTTTATTGTAAGTTTCCAGTTTTGCCCTTAATGAATCATGTTGTTACCCTAACAACAGATAGGGTGTTGTTATTGTATCCCGTCCCTACAAACAAGGTGAGATTGCTTCACAGACAGATCAGTATAATAAAAACCTTATATCCCATCAATACAACCCAAAAAGATAAATTTTGCTTTATAAAGATAATTTGGATGACTTCGCATTTTCGTTTGAGACCACCGATTTCACAAAGCAAACCACAGAATTTTCAAAAACACATCAATAACCTCATAATGCAAACCACAAACACGTTAAAGCAAATCACAAAAACAAACTAGAAACCTCCTAATGCATACCACAAATCTCCTAAAACAAACCACAAACCTCACAAAGCAAACCACAACATTTGCGAAAGCACACCAGAATCCTCCTAATGCAAACCACAAACACTGTAAGCAAACCACAAACACGATAAAGCAAACCACAAAAACAAACCAAAAACGTCATAATGCAGACCAAAAATATATTAAAACAAACCAGAAACCTCACAAAGCAAACCACAGAATTTTCAAAAACACACCAGAAACCTCTTAATGCAAACCACAAACACGATAAAGCAAACCACAAAAACAAACCAGAAACGTCCTAATGCAGACCACAAATCTCCTAAAACAAACCACAAACCCCTCAATGCAAACCACAAAATATTTGAAAGCAAACCAGAAACTTCTCAATGCAAACCACAAACACGATAAAGCAAACCAGAAACTTCTCAATGCAAACCACAAACGCGATAAAGCAAACCACAAAAGGCATACAAAAATGTGAGAAACCAAACCATAAATTTCACAATGCAGACCATAACATCCGGTGGTCGTTGGCCGTTGACCGGTCAATGAAGACCGTTGACCGGTCAACGAAACCCGTTGACCAAACTCCGATGACCGTCAGTGAGTAGATTCCGGCGCCGATAGGCATATTCCGGTCCCGATGACTAGATTCCGACGTCGGTAAGCATATTCCGACCACGGTGAGCATATTCCGGTGACGGTTGCATATCCCGATGACAAAATAGCATATTCCGGCGATAAAAAAGTATATTTCGGTGACCGGCGACAGATTCCGGCGACCAAAATTTTGTTCCGAAAATAAAAAATATTTTTTTTATTTTTTTATTATTATTTAAACATATTTTTCATAATGACAATTATACCCCTGCTTTGATTTTACACTAAGTCAACTAAACTAATAAAAAATCATCACAACTCTAACTTCCTATTAGTTGGAGACTAGTGTTGTTACAATAACAACAAAAGGAGTGTTGTTATAGTATCTAGTCCCCACCAAAGAAGCTGCGAGAGGACTGCTTTTACCACACCACGCCGGCCCTGAAAGCCCCCAAGTCCCTGGAGAACGTGGATTCTTGCGAGGTACATAATTAATGAATCGCTAACTAATTTTTTTCGTAATAATTAAGACACTACGTATAGCCATGTCACACAAACATTACACGATAATGTCTTGGTCTGGTGGTGGTGGCAATGCATGCAGAATTGGCTGGGAAGAAGAGTGATGAGTGCATGGCGGGTAGCAGGGGTGGTTCATGCGTTGGACAAGTGGGAGGAGCACGAGTGCGGCGACCGGATGTTGGACGTGGACAAAGTTTGGGAAGCAGCTCTTCGCCATGGCTTTCGTCCTCTCAATTAATTATATAAGGGCTTTATTGTAAATAAACTTCGGTTAGGTTATGTAGCTAGGGTTTGGTGTGAGCAAACCTATAAACACTATTGAGCCTGTATTGGAGATATTAAGTCGATTAATAATATACCAGAACCTGAGAGGGAGATCCTCTTCGTGGACTAGTGTCTAACGACGATACCACGTTAAAAAAGATTACGTGTTCTTTCTTTTGTTTAGATTATTTGACATGGTCTCGGAGTCTTGATCAAAGACCTTTGATTTTCTTCAGAGACAAGTGCAGAGCGACTGATATGGGTGGATTACAAGTGCTCACTAGGGTTTCTCGTCTTCGGTTTGTCTCTCTCTCTTGTTGTCTGTCTTTGTTGTTTCTCATTCTTAATTTGTGAGGTATTTGGGTGTGTGATCAGGATGGAGGTTGTCCGATTTGATTTTGTTTCTACGAAGTTCAAGGGCAAGAACTTTTCCTTGTGGGAATTCCAGTTCTGCAATTTTGTTGAAGGGAAAAGATTGCTCCCGTTTCTGATCGGGACCTCGCAAAAGCCTGCTAACAGCGCGACAGAGAGGGAACTGTCAAGAACCAGTTGGTCCCAATAACTCGAGTTGTTGGGAGAAGGTTCTGCTGGATCTTATACCACTCTCTAACACGCCCCCTTAACGACCATGTGCTTGAAAGACAACGGTTAATATTGGGGGTCGTGGAGATTCGAACACATGACCTTTCGGTTCTAGGCTCTGATACCATGTCAAGAACCAGTTGCTCCCAATAACTCGAGTTGTTGGGAGAGGTTCAATCATGGATCTTATACCACTTGGTCCCAATAACTCGAGTTGTTGGGAGAGGTTCAATCGTGGATCTTATACCACTCTCTAACACGCCCCCTCAAACGAAAGCCAACTCATGGGCTTGAAATTTGCACAGGCCCGCCCTACCATGTGCTTGAAAGATAACGGTTAATATTGGGGGTCGTGGAGATTCGAACACATGACCTTTCGGTTCTAGGCTCTGATACCATGTCAAGAACCAGTTGCTCCCAATAACTCGAGTTGTTGGGAGAAGGTTATGCTGGATCTTATACAGGCCCATGCATGGTGCTTAACCACTTCCTTACACGCCCCCTCAAACGAAAGCCGACTCATGGGCTTGAAGTTTGCACAAGCCCGCCCTACCATGTGCTTGAAAGATAACGGTTAATATTGGGGGTCGTGAGGACTTGAACACGTGACCTCACAGACAACCAGCTCTGATACCATGTCAATAACCAGTTGGTCTCAATAACTCGAGTTATTGGGAGAGGTTCAATCGTGGATCTTATAACACTCTCTAACAGGAACGTGATGATTGACTGGGCAGCGGCTTACGCTCAAGTTGTGTCCTGGTTAGCCGACTCAATTGGCGTTCCTATAGCCCTCGGCTAACACTCTTTTTTCCTTAACCATGATTTTTTTCCATCGGCTTTTCCTAGTAAGATTTTTTTAATGAGGCACCATGAGATAGCGTAATGCGATCTAGTGGTCATCCAAGATGGATTATTATGTAAATATTCACTTCTACATGGATGTCCATTGACCATATTAGATGTACTATTGTGTGTTACATGTAACCCCTCACCCAATTTCAATTTTTGATTCATTGCTCACATTCATGTGTATTGATTGTAAGAATGTAGAGGTTATGTGATGTGTGCCTATGAATAGAGGATCTTCTTGTACTAAGTAACACATGAATAAGAAAACTATATTTCCTCTCTATACTCCTACTCTTGTGTCTGCTTCTCTTCCCTATTATTTCATAACAGATTATTAATTTATCAAGTATTAATTTATAGAGGTTTAGAATAGATGGGTGACTTGTGATCTCGTTATCACGAACACGAACACGAACGTCGTGCAAACATCATACCATGTTGAATTAACCCAACTACTCAAGGTAGCTCGGAGATGCATCTTACATATTTGTGAGAGTTTAGATACTATGTTGCAAAGTGTGCCAAGTGATTCTCTTATGAGCTTTGTTTCCATAAACAAATTTTACTTTGAACTACAAAACCATTATAGAACCTTTAACTATTTATAAAACCGTTTGTATCTGTGGAATAGAAAACGTAAATACTAAATATACAATACACTAACTGAAGATTGAATTTGTCATCTACTATAAACAATTCAAAGCCATTGTACCTATCACTAAAAGTTATAATAAACAACCCAAATTAACTCACGAAACCAAGCATACGAAAGTTTTATCAAATTCAAATTAGTAATTAATTTGTTAAAATTATACAAAGTCCTTCAAAGGAATCTTGGATGAAATTAACACAACTATAGTGGCAAAATTTGTTGCAAAAATTTCATCGTTACAATTCACAAATGATGATATCAAATTTTATGCTGGCGGTTAGCCGTTTGAATAGACATCCGACTAGACAATTCTTATCAAACAGTTAAATACAGACCAGATCAGGATGGTGACCGAACACCAACTGTTTAAATTGACCAACCCAGTTTGATTTTCAAAGCTCTGATTTTCAAGTCGCGGATGCAATGGCAGATGGAGTGAAATCAGGGTGAACATCCTTGATGTTGGTCGTGGTGCCTGACATGTGAGGACACGACATGGATGTTCTGTATTCGATGTTGTTGTCTCGTAGATGAGACCGGGCTTGATCGCTCGGTAGGATGGGAGACTCCAGCTCTCATGTCGTAGGGGCACATTGTTGGTTGCAAGAGCTGATCATAGAAACAAGAGAGAAGACTAATTAGGATCAAACTTAAATTAAGCAAATTAAAAAAAAAGTCAATGGTACGATCACTGTTTGAGAACTAATCACCTGTTGTCATGATGGCCGATTCCACGTACGCCGGAGGGGTTGAAAGATGGCATTGGCGACCGCCACGCCGGAGATGTGAGGACAGGCCATGGATGTGTCGGAATTACGTGTATAGTTCAAAGGAAGCGAGATTAGCACGGGATGTAGCTATAAAAGTTACATTCACTTGACAACAATGCAATAGTACATGAGAATATTAGAGATTAAAGCACAATATGAAGAGAGAATAATAGTTTCGAAAGTGAGAATTCTGATCTTTCTAATCCAATCATATTAATGTGACAAGATAATATATGGAGAGGGAAATCACAGGTGAATGTATTTGGCCAACAACATCATTATCTCGATGTAATTTATAGGTAACGTGAGAGAGGTTTCGGTTTCTTGAACTTGATTGCCCTTAGTGGGTTAATTTGCGAGGTCTACCTACTTTTGTATGAGGAGTAGTTAGAAAATACAAATTGTGTTGCTCACACAAGAAGAGGAGGAGAAAAGACACCACCGTGAGTTAGTTCACTATCATATGCTCAATGAGAAATTGGGCTTTGCAGCCTTGTCTGTTAGCCCATGAAGCCCATTTCATTGCCAAAGGGTCTCATTCATATTTCATCATATATGTCGCGTAACATGGTGATAGAAGCCTGTTATAAACGCGCTGCTACGGATCGGGAAATCGCCGGAATCGACAAAGCAAGAATACGAGAGCGAGAATCGAAAGAACACAGACACACGATTTACGTGGTTCACTAACACGATGTGTGTTAGCTAGTCCACGGGCGAGAGAGAGCCAGTTTCACTATATCGAGGAGATTACAGATTACAGAGGAGTATGAGAAGTATTTATAGTACTTCTCCATGTGGCTCTAAACCTAATCCAATCTAGCAAAGGAAACGGTTACAGACCAGGCCCAGAACCCGAACCCAAATAACATTGAGCCCATACACCGATTACCAGTCGTAGCGGCTGATAATCCGATTCAAGTCATATCAACAAAGCCAGTGGAAAGAATGGTGCCACTATTTATTGTTTAGTATGCTTACTGGGTTACATGACATGGTTAATTGTGCATTCACGACAAGAAAAGTGTGAAGTGTTTCATATGACCCAACTTATAATGTCGAGAAAGCAAGGTGAGTTTGTAGATCTTCCAATTTTGACTAGGATTGGCAATTGGTCGGATTGGCCTTGGATAATGGTTATCCAATACCAATCTATTTAAGTTTTGGATAGGTACCATATGAAGAAATTGATACAATATCTCTAACCATCTCCATACCCATACCCCACGAATATGCTATATACCCGGTCATAAAACTCCAATAATTTTATAAAGATCAAACAACATGCTAATAAAGCAGAGTAGCAGATCTTGAAAAGAAATTAAAAAGACAAGGAAAATTACTCTGCTACAATTCTTCTTCATCGAGGTTGTCATCAATTCAAACTTATAGACACCATTGAATGACTGAAACCCTTCTCTTATATCTCTACATCTCTAGAGATATATCTGCTTTTACTATAAGACCAAAGAGATGAGAATCAGTGCTAGCATAATCAAAGAATTGAGAGATTATGTGTCATTTTTCCATCAACGATAAAAAGGCTTTGATTTTGAGAAGAATTCATTCAATGACTAGTGAAGTTTGATTCCATGGCTTTGAGAAGACCAGGAGTCAAGAGGATTGAAGGAGGGTTGGAAATGAGAATTCGGAAGCGTAGAGCTGAGGAAACGACGTGACAAAGTTGAAAGTGAGAACGAAATTCGTGAAGTAAGAAGTCGATGGGGCTAAGAGGGTATATGAGTATTGGAGTGATGGTCGGGTTCGAGACGGATATTAGACTATCCGTACTTGTCTTTATCCCGATAACTACACATTTGGGTTTTATCCGTACCCGCCGGAATCGGGTGGATACCCGATTCAGTGGGGGGGGGTTCTGCCAACCCTGATTCGTCTGACTACACACTTCACCTGCATCACACTATCTATTGAATCTGCATACATGTTTTTGTTTGAACACAAATTCGACTTCTTAAAGTTCGAGCCTTTGGTAGCTAAGGTATCATCACTCATCACATTGCAATTTCATTTTGGTGTGGAATCATGCATGCCATAGGTATATATATGTATATGATGGATCATGGATCGCTTGGTGTATGTGTATGATGCAACCACCACATCCTTCTGACAATCAGGCCATAGCACGAGAATGCAGAGATGCGAGAACAGACAGAGACAACATAGACTCCTGCACAAGCGGGAAGACTAAGGATTTCAGGGTAATTAGCATAAAAGGTCACAAACCTATTCACTTTGTACGAAATGGTCACAAATCTTTTATTTTGCACGTTTCAGTAACATACATTTGAGAGAATAACGAAATGGTCATTCCATCCATCTCCATCCAAAAAACCGTTAGTTTTGTCCAGTCAGCACGCCATGTCACTTAAAATATTAATAAAAAATTCAGTGACCAAACCCAATTGAACCGGACAACCCAACCAAAAACCCTAATGTTATACCACCCAAAATAATGGAGACTCTTTCCTTGAAAAAAAGATCTCGACGCCCCTCTGCCTGCGTCGGCGGCCTGAACCGAAGTCCCCACGTCGATCGCTTCCCCGACTCTCCCACAGCAGCACCCATCAATCAATCAATCTTGGACCGGAATATGCTCTGGTGCAGGGCTTTGCTCAACACTGCGCAAAGGGGAATTCATGTAAGCGCCTAAAACAATCTCCCTTTGGCCTTTACGCTTCCTTTTTTTACTTTTCCAATTGCTCACCGTGATGATACGTAACGCAACAAAAGAAATTACGGATCTTGTTCCGCTTGCGGGAAGGTCCTGGCCGATAGGACCTCCGCCACCGGCGATCAGAAAATGGCAGTCGTCAAGTCTGGAATGGTAGGATCGAAGAGAGCCTGGAACAATGTCGTCGCAATCATTGACACTGACACCGACGATTCCGAATCCAATGACTACAGCTAGCGACCGTCATCCTGATGACGATTGGGGATTCCTCGATGATTAGTTTCTGAAGAGCACCCTTCGTCTGGTTCAGTGCGGCGGCCCCGTTCGCCTGTCAGAACGACGACGTGAGCAGGGGAAAGAGGTGGAGTTTGCTTCAGGGCGGTGACCCGACCAGGGAAGCGAACCTCCGTTTGTTTCGGTCGGCGGCGCTACCGGAGAAACTATCGGTGACTGGAGATTTCTGAGTGCGCCATTCTGGGGAGCGGAATCGCTCTATAAGGGCCTAGTGAAAAAAGTCTCCAAGATTTCGGGTGGTATAAAATTAGGGTTTTTGGTTGGGTTGTCCGGTTCAATTGAATTTGGCCATTAAATTTTTTATTAATATTTTGTGACATGGCATGGTGATTAGACGAAACTAACGGTTTTTTTGGATGGAGATGAACGGAATGACCATTTCGTTATTCTCTCAAACATATATTACTGAAACGTGCAAAATGAAAGGTTTGTGACCATTTCGTACTAAGTGAATAGGTTTGTGACCTTTTATGCTAATTACCCAAGGATTTCATGGCTGCAGCTACAGTTTTTTCTTGGCTTCTGTAAAGGAGAAATAATAATCAACAAAGGGTCAAGAAAAGTAGGCATTAGGGAAAGGGAGGTAGAACTGGGTGGGATAAAGATTGAAAATTTCAAGTTTAGACTTTGGACTGGCCAAAAGGCCAACTTGGATTAGTCATCCTCTGATAAGTGATAATGTAATGTTAGTATTTTATTGTGAAATCAGGGCATCGCAAAGCCACAGACTTTCCCATTTTACTGCACCCAAAGGCAAAGGCGGTCAGGCTCGCGGTGCACACACTCCTCCTTTCGGCCGCCGCCATTCATTATTCTCGGCAACCAAGCTTCTCTAAACCTCTTCGCTTTTACAGTTTCTGGGAAAAAGCTTCAATCTTTCCGTTCGGCGGAGCGCCCCCAAGCCATGGCTTCTTCCACCATCGCCTCTCCTTCCGCGTCCTTCATTCCCACCAAGGTATATTTGATATTCGACACTGCTGCGTTGCCTTCCAATTTTCCCTTTTGAAGAAGAAGAAGAATCCCGTCTTTTTTTCTTAATGATTTTGGGGGGTTTTCCCGTTTTAACAGAAGGAATTGGGTCGCTCGGCTTTCTCCCCAGCATCGTCCCCTTTCTCGGTTCCCAAATGCAGGAAATCGATCTCGAAGAAAATTGTTTCGGTCATGGCGCCACAGCAGTCGGAACGCAAGCCGGCAGCTACTGGCTCGGTTAGTGTCCGATTCTCATGTGCTTTCTATGTGATTGCTTCTGGCCACCGGTTCGATTCTGTTCATTTTGGTAATGGGAGATCTTGATGCAGGTGAAGACTGCGATGACAATGACTGAGAAAATATTGGCTAGGGCTTCTGAGAAGACCCATTTGAGTCCCGGTGAAAATGTTTGGGTAGACGTTGATATCTTGATGACCCATGATGTTTGTGGCCCTGGTTCTATTGGTATCTTCAAGAAAGAGTTTGGGCAGAATGCCAAGGTATTCATCGCCTCAGCTTTCTGTTTTTGGCGTTGTTAATATCTTTGTGTACATCAAGTGATTATAATATGGATTTGAATCTGAGCCGATGCTTTTGTCTGGTGCTGGATTATGCAAAAGTTAGATTAAGTGTCTGGTTTTAAATGCCCGATAAGCACGAAGCTTACTGCCAATCTGAATATTGAAGGTTTGGGACCGTGAAAAGATTGTGATCATTCCAGATCATTATATATTTACCAACGACGAACGTGCAAATAGGAATGTGGATATCTTGAGGGACTTCTGCGCAGAGCAAAACATCAAGTACTTCTATGACATTCAGGACCGTGGTAACTTTAAGGTTCGTGTGATCAAATGTAGGGGTTCATTTTTCCTTCATCTTTCCTTTAACGACAGCTGCAAATGGAACAATTCTGACTTCATTGCTTTTCAGGCTAATCCTGATTACAAAGGGGTCTGCCATATTGCACTTGCACAAGAGGGTCACTGCAGACCTGGCGAGGTACACCCAGCATGCAGGAGTTGCATTTTCTTCAAATCCATTTAGTTTACTTTCTTGGGAATGACACTAACAATTCATCTGCTTTCAGGTCTTGCTAGGTACAGACTCACACACCTGTACTGCCGGGGCATTTGGGCAATTTGCCACTGGAATTGGCAACACTGATGCTGGTTTTGTGATGGGTGCTGGGAAGCTCTTGCTTAAGGTTGGTGGAATGGATTTTATGGGGACTAAGTTTTCAACTGCCGAAGATTCATTTGTCAATTACGTTGTGTGAAACTTTTGCTTATAGTTGTAAATAACCATATGCTATCTATCCCTTTCTTGCAATTTACAGGTGCCCCCAACTTTGAGATTCGTCATGGACGGTGAAATGCCTGACTATATTCTTGCTAAGGATTTGATTTTGCAAGTGAGTTTTGAATGGGGGTTCAGCATTCATATTCTGACGCAAATTTGCTTCTGTTTTACAGACTCTGAAATTTTAGCTATTTTTCAGATCATTGGTGAAATATCTGTGGCTGGTGCAACATACAAATCGATGGAGTTTGTTGGCTCAACTGTTGAGAGTTTAAATGTAAGTGATTCTTGTATCTAACCTGCTGTGTATGGTCAGTTGATTGTTGTTAACTATGAATATATGTATCTCCTCTTGTTGGACAGATGGAAGAGCGTATGACATTATGTAACATGGTTGTTGAAGCTGGAGGAAAGAATGGTGTTGTTCCTGCTGATAGTACTACTTTCAAGTATCTTGAGGTTAGTTGGATAATTACCAGATAAACTCTGCTGGAAATGCTTTTCTTCTTCTAACGTGAAAAGAAACTATTTGGAAACATTACTACCCTTACTATGTTTTCTTGGTTATAGGACAAGACATCTCTTCCCTATGAGCCGGTTTACAGTGACCAGCAAGCAAGGTAATCTTTCTTGGCGAAACAATTGGCAAGAGGCTTCCTTTTTTTGTCCCTTCGGTCATTCCTATTTTGAATAATTCCTTTCTGTTCTGTGAATGGTATCAGATTTCTTTCAGAGTATAGATTTGACATCTCAAAGTTGGAGCCAATAGTTGCCAAGGTGAGTAACTAATTAATATAATTATTGATTCATTTATTTTGAAGGTTATAAGTAAATAGTTCTGTTATTAACAAGAAAGGCGTACAGAGGGCATTAGTTTTATCCCTCCCAAATGCTTCTGTTATAGATCTTATTATTGGCAAACTCCTTGTTTACCCATTCATTGTGAAGTTTGAGAAATTCATTGTATTTTTATGCAGCCCCATTCTCCTGATAACCGAGCTTTAGCAAGGGAGTGCAAAGATGTCAAGATTGACAGAGTATATATCGGGTCCTGTACTGGAGGAAAGACCGAGGATTTCATGGCTGCAGCCAAACTTTTTGTAGCTTCAGTAAGACCCATATTCCTAGTGAACATCTTCCCTTGACTACTTTGCTCTTGTGTGTTCTCCATGACCTTTTATATTTCATCAACCTGCAATGTTTTGCCAAAGTTTGATCATCAAATTCGAGCCTATAGTTTCTCTTTAACTGGAGCTCTTCTAGCATACACATTTTATGCTCTCTTTCTCTCATCATTGGAAAGTATTATCTTTGGGACTTGTCATGCATTCTCTGTTCCAACTGTTTGGGTTAGGGTTGTGGTAAAGATTGTCCAACGTGCTTGTTCCCCGTCTATTTTACGAGACAGACATTGTGGAGACACATAATATCTGTACCTAATCGGTTATAGAACTGCACCATCTGTTAAGTCACCTTGCGATTTCCCTTTCTTATCTATTATTCATATGTTCTTACCATTGTCTCCAGGGATATAAGAAGGTCAAAGTACCCACTTTCCTTGTCCCTGCTACTCAAAAGGTGAGTAATGCTGGATTTTGAATGTGCCAAAAATCCAAAACTCTCGCAACTAGATCGCTCTCCGAATCATCCTTCGGTTTCGTTGGGTTTTCCAGGTATGGATGGATGTCTACAGTCTCCCTGTGCCAGGTTCCGGTGGCAAGACGTGCTCTCAGATCTTCGAGGAAGTTGGATGCGACACACCTGCAAGTCCCAGCTGTGGCGCTTGCTTGGGAGGCCCTAAAGACACTTATGCACGCATGAACGAGCCTAAGGCAAGTGGATTCGAATTCTCCATTTAGTTTCCTTTCATTTTCTGGGCTGGTTTTCCCCGCTCATTCTGTTCGACTGCTTCGACCGCTGCTGCAGGTATGCGTCTCGACAACGAACAGGAACTTCCCTGGAAGGATGGGACACAAAGAAGGCGAGATATACCTAGCCTCTCCTTATACAGCAGCAGCTTCTGCTTTGACTGGATATGTTACTGATCCAAGGGACTTCTTGCAGTAAGATGACAGTTTTAATCTGTTTTGGAACTCTTTTCTCAATTGAGTGCTGTAACTTAAATTTCAAAAACTTGGAGATGGTATTTTCAGTATAATGTTTGTACTAGAGTTTGATTAGCCGATGGATTTTTAAATGGATGGATTTTGAGAAGTGGGTGGATTTGGAAACAAGATTAGATTTTGGAATATACACAGTTTGGTTATGGATTTTTGTTATGGATTACCACCAACATGGCGTCTCGTGTGGATTCTTCCCCGGCAGTACTGCTTCGTTTTTTCGGTCCTTCGATATGCTCTTCATGTTGTCCCTGATCTCCCTTTAAACGTCCATGAACGGCATGTTCATGTTCTTTATAGCAAAACAAAAAAGCTAATCATGAACGTCATATTACCTAAAAATGAAGGTGGGCTCGGATTTAAGGACCTCCACAGCTGAAATTCAGCATGATTAATCAGGCATTTCTGGGCTGTTATGTTTGTATCTCATTTGTTGCATTTGACCAGAAAGAAGTTGGAACAATCTAGGTCGTCATCATCATCATGATCTGTTGCGGTTACTTAAACCGTGTTTAGTATTGGACCTTGTTGGGTCTCGTCTGATTCGTTGGATTATGGTTTTAACCCTAAGTTTATCTATATAAGCTTAGCTATCGACTTATGTGATAGCAAGCCGTCAAGATGTAATCCTAATAAGAGATCAGCCGTGAGCTCTTATGAGCTCACCGTGGATTAGTCTCGATCAATCACTCGATCGAGGATACCACGTAAAACCCCTTGTCTCGTGTTCATGTTATTTCATCTTCCGCAACATCAAATTCTACATGATCATCTTGAAGCACAAGGAGTAAAATGCAAAACTACAAAAGCCAAACCAGAACAAGATAAGTTCATATCATCATCCATAATGTACATGTCGCCATTCTCACTCGACATAAAGGGTAGACGGAACAGTTATGGCAGTGGAAAGAAGTAAAAAGGAAAAGGGGGAAGCCATTGCCAAGCCAATTCCACCGTTTTCAGCCAAAAAAACAAAGAGCCCCATCATTGAACTTCGAGAGATTCCAAATCAAACCTCTTAAACAAATACCTCCTCTCCACAACTCGACAAGTGTCCCACCACCTGTAAAATGCACTTCCCTCGTTTCCTTACACGTGTCCCCATACTCCTTCTCCCATGGCTACGCCTACGCCACGCTCCTTTTCTCTCTATATAGTGTCCTTCCCCACCTCCTTCTCCAGAATCCCAAAGCTATCGAGCAGCTATCAAATATCGGTCACTTTGTCACATAGTTTTTGGTCATCCAGAGGCAGAGAAGGAGAAGGGGAAAAGAAAGAAGGAAGAAATGGCGCAATCGACGGTTGGGAGGAACGTAGCAGCACCATTGATGTTCCTGAACTTGGTCATGTACGCAATCGTGTTGGGTTTCGCTAGCTGGTGCTTGAATCGCTACATCAACGGCCAGACTTACCATCCCAGTAAGCAACCAACTAGATATGCTCTGTTTTTTTCCATTCCCCTGTTTTTTCTCCCCTGTTTCTAATTTTTTTCTTTGATGTGATTCGATTGCAGGCTTCGGCGGGAACGGGGCGACGGGGTTCTTCCTGACGTTCGCGACGCTGGCGGCGGTGCTGGGGATAGTGTCGAAGGTCCTGGGCGGGAACCACATCAGGACGTGGAGGAACGACAGCCTGGCGGCGGCTGCCTCGACGGCGATCCTGGCGTGGGCGGTGACGATGCTGGCGTTCGGGCTGGCGTGCAAGCAGATAAACGTGGGAGGGCACAGAGGGTGGAGGCTGAGGGTGCTGGAGGCGTTCGTCATCATCCTGGGCGTGACGCAGGGTCTGTACGTGATGCTGCTCCACGCCGGGATGTTCAGCAGCAGGTACGGGCCGGGGTACAGGGACGATTACGTCGGCGGCGGCGGTGGAGGCGAGATGCCGAAGGGGACCGGTGCTGCCGGTATGGCCGGGGCGAGGGTTTGATGTCGTCCAAGGTGACACACCAATGTGTTTTCTCAAAGAGACATTAGTCTCTGGCTACTCTTTTTATCTGTACAATGACTTGATTTTCATGTTAAGGGTTTGGTTTTGTGTTGGTAGTTGAAAGAAGTGTATGACACCCCTTGTTGTAATTGGGATTTTCCGTTTAGGGATGTACCTTGCTGTTCGTTGAATAACGATTAATGCAGATACTTTACAATGATGAGAGGCTTCCCACTCTTGTTTTGGTAATCAAGAATCGTTGAACTAATAATGAACTTTTTTGAATTCAGCTACCCTGATTAGTACGTTATAAGCCAATTAATCTTAACTCCTACAAGTTAATTTGTTCATGATTTATAGGTTTGTTTAATTATATTTGATGTTTATAGTATGCCAGAGTGATTTGGATGGACGAATCTATACTATTTTAAAGAGTTTGATTTGTATTTTAAAGATGGACGAATCTATACTATTTTAAAGAGTTTGATTTGTATTCTATACTATTTTAAAGAGTTTGATTTGTATTTTAAAGATGGACGAATCTATACTATTTTAAAGAGTTTGATTTGTTCCATTTCAAATTTCCTGCAGCGAGAGTAAAAGTAAGAAGAGTATTTTCGTCTACACAATCATATATCAATGCTATGATTTGAACCATGGTCTATTCCATCAAAGACAAGGATTGTAACCAATTAGATCAGACCCATTTGTTGTCCTTTATTAATACAAAATATAGAGGAAGTTAAAATTATGAAAAATATAGTACTTTTCTATCACGGTTAGTTAGCCCGCTAATTCTCCTGTAAGTATTTTGTGGTGTTTGATAATTCTATTTTCATTTAATAATTAATTTAGAATTTTTTCTAACTTATAAATGAAGGATAATCTTAAAATCTCAACACAAATATCATTGGTGGGAATATTGCGCATTGAATTGAAGTGTTGAATGAAGTGTTCAATGACAACATAAGAACACTGGTACCATATATTTCAAGAAAAATAAACATGACAGACACTGATACCAATTATCTAGACAGTCTATGCTAAAATTCGAATTTGTTTAATCATTCAATTTGAGTGATAGTTTAGTCAAATAAGCAAATAATTCATGATTGTGTATGAACAAAAATAAAACATATGTATTGTATTATGAAAAATATATTTATTTTAACAATCTAAAAAAACAACCAAGACTTCCATATACAACCCCTTGTTTCAGCATGGTAATTAATGAAGCAATTATCAACATGATGCAATGTTCAAGCTAAGGTCCAATTATTAATCACGAGTATATAGTATTCAGCTTAATAAACTATTTCAATATCCACAGCTAATTATTAATGATTACTTGCTTTCTGTTTGAGGGTTTAATGTAACACTCTCATGCCTACACTATTATTAGTTACTTTTACATTGGATTCAATTTAGTATACTTTTTCGTTTAGATAGATTTTTGTAATGATTTTTTGGGATATAATATATCATTATTTTATGATGGTGTAGGATATTAGTTCCTCTCATTTTAGGTTCAAATTGATGCATTTTCCCCTTTATCGTTCCCTTTTTTTCGCTTCCTCTTCTCCTGATTAGATATTGTGTCCACATTGATTCTTATATTGATTATTGAATTACTACTTTTTTGTTCTGAAATTTATGAAACTAAGATGCATTTTTTTGAGAAACATGAAACTAAGATGCATATTGATAAAGAATGTAAGGTGTCATCTTCCCTCTTAAGGCTTAAGCACTACATATCATTGTTTACCTACTGTTAAATCAAAGTCTTTCTAACTTGAGTACGAGCTACAATGACTTTTATTGTTGTCGAATTTTCCCAAAATATTAGGTATGCTTTTATTTTTCGCATTCTTTTCAGTTTGATTTAGCTTTTTATGTGTTGCTCTATTAGTTGAACTTGCCAGTTGGAGATCTGCATGCTTCGACTACATTAATGTCACAGTGACTTCTATATGAAATGTCACTCGAAACATGAGTGTGTGATTTAGTTTGTTTCTTATTAAGGACACTCTAAACATATACTTTGTTCCATTACATAATTGAATACACTAAAGTCAATGGAAAAGTCAAAACATTTTATCGTATACTGAAGATTGATTATGCATGTATGATGTAAAACAACTCTTACCATTGTTCTACTTGGACGTTTTTATATCAATACGACTTCGTTTGAAAATATGTATTTATGTTAGTGTAGTTGGACGTTGTTCGTCATTTTTAAAACTTCGTTAGTTAAATATATCAAATACTTTCCTATATTATTAATGGAGAACTTACCAACTAAATGGTTACTTCAAACCCCAACAACATGAAGCATAACAAAAATATATACCTACATTTGTACATGACAACATGAGAATGACTTAATAATTATTCATTGAAAAATAACCCCTTAGAAGATAAATTATTCCCTATATTCCCACAAAAAAAGTAAAGATAAAATGTGTATCATCAAGTGCTTCAATACTAATTACTATAATATCAATTAATTAAAATTTATCAATTAATTAATATGATCCAATATTAGGTCACACAGTTCGCGTACACAGCCTCAACGCTCCCGCTTTAGTTCGCGGAAACGCGGATTGTTTGTAAAACGTACAGAATTCGCGATTTTCTGATTGCTAGAGCGCGGATTTGATAATTAAAAGCGTGAATTTCTTGCCACCATCCTTTTCCAATGAAATTGGTAGGTGAGGAAGACTACACGTCCTTCCACCAACGACTATAAGCCACTGTTGTATTATCCAGTGAAGGGTAAGAAGATTTGTATTCTGGAATTGCCAGCTGATCAATCTACTGGACACTGGAGCAAAGATCGGAGTCACCGATGCTGCTCGAAAATCCAAACTTTATTTGTTCATCACCCCCATGTTGAGAACTTCGATTCCGACGACTGGAACAAGGAGCCATGATTCAATTTGCTTCCCTTAGATGCCGTCGTCGAGGAACAGGGGGCGGCGCTGTGTGAAGGCTGTTAAGGAAAGTCGAAGCGGTGAAGTACGAAAGAGAGCTACGAGCAAAAATTGTAGAGGAACCCAAGGCTTTGACAGTGAATTAGGGAGAGTTACACTGACGGGGAGGCAACAGGAAAGGGAATCAGAGGTGGAAGCAAGAACAAGGGCAGCGAGCTACTGGTACAGAGAGCATAAGACGTTAGGACTAGGGCTGGCTATTTGGTCCTGAACTGTTTGGTTTTACCCAAAATCGGACCGTATAACTCGGACCG